TGTCAAAAACCAATCAAAACAGTGATGAACCACCCGTGAGATGTATACATAACCAAATTAATAAACAAAATTAGAGCATGGAAAAAGAAAATAGGTTTATAAATATTAGGCACCAAAACTACATAAAATGTATAATAACTAACAATGAATTTAAAAGATAAAATTCCTTCTAAAAAGAAGTACTAAGAGCTTATATAGTCACACATTTATTTTGAAGCCATTAAAACTACTACTTAGAATTACTAAAAAATAACTACTAGTTTTCAAGCACCGCTATCATACTAAACACTCCTTATGATCCTGTATGGAACATAGGAACAGTAGACAAATAAATTAATAAAAAAAGAAAGAATAGTAATAATAAAATGTTTGCGTGCACACTATACCTTTCCTGGGCCTCCACCAGTCCTCCATGTAGCCTTTAAGCGGGGAAGAAGAACAGGAAGATCCTTGTTAGCATTTAGAATATAACAATTGTCACTAATCTCTAATTTTTTTACTTTCGAACATTTAGTTCAGTCGAGATGGATCATTTGAAAAGAGGTTCGGAATATACAGTTTATTTCAACAATAAAGGAATTAAATTTGTACTAGAAATATGTCACCATGTTATTTAAAATGTCAGGAACATTAAGAGTAATTTTAATTTTGGTTGTCACTGAATTTGAATTTTTTATATACATAGTCTCTATATATTTGGCCATGTCTTGCATAGTTTGTGTTGAAGAATATATTCCTAGCTACAAACAAAGCCAGTTTCATGGTTTTTTTTTTGTGAATTAAATCTTAAGTGAGTAACCAATTCAATGAACATGAGATTTTTTTTTGTTATTGCAAAAATTCCCCTGGCTGGACAGATTAGAATCTGTGGGTTACTGCTTTTCAATAGGCAAGTTAAGGGTCATTCAAGTATTACATAAATCAAGTAGGGAGGAGAGTGATTGTAAAACGTTACAGTGCTTTACAGGGGCGGGAGGTGGTGTTTGAACAACGCTTTATGTAACAATGTTTTTTACTTAAATAAAAAGAACTATAGAATTAAAATCTCCCAAGTTGGCAATCCTTTTCCTTTATGTTTTACGGGATATCCCTTGATTGTATTGTATTCTTCTTCTTCTTTTTCGTGCGACTAGGATTACTCCTGCTTGTCTGTCACTTAATCTGTTTCAGTTGTTGTTGACTGTACATTATCTTTCCAACCTTTTTGGCGGCCTTCCAAATTTGGCGGCCTTATAAATTTAAGATGTCTTTTCGCTTCATCCCGTCAAAAGCATTTTTTAAATCTACAAGGCACATGTATGCTGGTTTTCCATATTCCATAGGGTTTCCATATCCCTCGATTGTATTGTATAATATTGTTATTCTGCTCCTTTTGTTTGTTTGTGCGGGCAATCCTTTGACTATATTGAAAGTCCTTTTGATTTTGTATTTGTTGTCAATATTACACAGAAACATGTTACTGTAGTTAGTGGTTTGGCTTATTCCCAATAAAAATAGGAATTATTACCACAAATGCTATTAAAACAATAGTTATTTTACTGACTTTCCGGTACATTTTGCAAGATAATCGTTATTTTTAGGTAAAAAATGGTCACTTGGGTCTTATGTAACATTTAGGTAGGGGAATGGGGTCTTATAAAATGTTACGATGTATTACAGGAGTGGGGGGGTCAAAAATCTTTTAAAAGTGCTTCACATAATACTTGAATGAGCCCTTACCACTCAGGCAATAATCTGAATTGCTTTATTCATTTTCAGCCTAGTTATTTATGATTTGTACTTCTAAATACGGAAATTTATGAGTTTAAAAACAACCTGTATTTATTTTTTTATTTATGACAACTTATATATTTCCTTAAGAATCCTTTATTGGTGAAAAATTCTGTAATATACTCTATTGAACTCAAAACACAATATATTTGACCTATTACATGTCTATAATTAAACCAAGTCATCATTTTCATAAGTTCAGACTTGTTTATAACTTTCAATTGTATAAAAAGTATCGTAGATATGTTTTTCTATAGCTAATGAAGATACAAACTTAAAATTGTAAAATTGGTGGCTAATAGCTATCTAGAGATAAACTAGTAAAAGCAAATATGCTTAAGAATAAAAAAAAGCCCAGAAAATGTAGCCCATTTTGGTACCTCCCATTCTTAGAAAACTAACACCTAAAAGCATAAAAATAAAAAAAAACTATCAAAAGTGTTTATATTGTGACTCCCAAAACTACACACAGTTAAGATTGTTTGAGAATGGATTTCAACCAGATGGATGAATGATACAAAATGAGTATAGAGAAGCTACTAACATTCAGGAAATATCTGTTAACAATAGAGTAACAAATATTTAAATCTTGAAAAGAATGAACCAACAAAGATAGGTCAACTTATGATAAAGACAGACAAAGGAAGATGCTGTAATGTTTGATACTTAAAGAGGTATAGACTATGTCTAAAAACAACTCACATATATAAAAAAGAATTCCATCGAAAAAATTTACAGCACAAGAGAGATTGAAAAAAATATATAAAATATTACAAATCACACTAAAACCTTTTAAAAAATGTATTGTCCTTGAATATTATTAAAATTTACATATAATAATATACAGAGTGCCCAAAAGTCTGGAAACGGCCAATATATCTCGTAAATTGCTAGTTATAATTGTACAAAATTTGAGGTACACTTATTTTGGGATACAGAGATTCCATATTTGATATTTGCAAATGTTGCCAGATTTGCCGTTTTCTCTGATATTATTAGTAACTTTGGTTTTTTCAAATGCATCACCCTGTATATATCAGTCATTATTAGAATCTTCTATTCAATACGATTCAACTGTATGTAATCACTTATGATTGTATGTAGTCTGGAAGGTCTTAAATACATAAAAAAGTGCAAAATTGTAGATTTTAATAAATTTAAATATTTAAATTTAGAATGCTGTGATATTGACATTTGTTCACGATTTACATTATAAACGAAAATTGACAGTAGTTATGTTTCGAAAAGTTCTGCAATTTAAATTGCTTCTCTAAAATATGCCGTTCTCTAAACCGTTTCTCCTATTCATAAGGCGACGGTACAAAAAACTGTAAGCGATTTTGAGAAATCTGAAGAAGGTAAAGATAGATAGAAAGAGAAAAGTTTTGTTGAAGATCCACATACATCCTCAGACAGGGTTGCACAAGTACATGATGTAGGTTGTTCTTCAGTCTTACGTATATTACGTAAAAATAAGTTTAAACCATACAAAATAAACTTATTGCAAGAATTAAGTGAAGATGACCTCGATCTTAGATTAGAGTTTACTGAGGTAATGATGGATAAAATTGAAAATTATTAAAATTTCGTTAACAGAATTAGTTTTTCGATGAAGCAATCTTTACACTGTGTGGAAGTGTAAATCGACACAATTTAAGGTACTGGAGTGACGCAAAATTCACACTGAATGCGTGAAAACCATACTCAAAGAGCACAAAAATTAAATGTATCGTCACGTTATAGTAGGTACTCAGTCAATTGGGCCATTTTTTCTCGAAAGAAATTTAACATCAGATAGTTGGTGTAAATGTTCGGCGTTATTTAGATGAGATATTTCCAGGACGATAAATTGGTAGACAAGGTAGAATTGAATGGCCTTCACGTTCACCCGATTTCAATCATAAAGATTATTTTTATTATTGAAAAATTCAGTTTAACTTAAACCAGCAAGTCTTGCAGCGCTAAGGCAACGAATTATCGATGAATCTCGAATTGTTTCTAGATCATCATGGAGAAATGTGAAAGACGCATTCTACCATCGATTAGGGTACTGTCAACTCATAAATTGAGCACATTTTGAACATTTAATAACGTAACTATTGTTAAAAAATGTTCTAATCTATCAATTGTTACGTTTTCATGTAGTTGAAAATAACTAGTATTAAAAAATTTATTGGAACAATTAGGTGTTGCCAGACTTGTGTTTTATGTATTTAAGACCTTTCAGACTATGTAAAATCATAAGTGTTACATATGGTTGAACTGGTATTGAATAGGAGATTCCAATAACGCCAAAATATACAGGGTGATGAATTTAAAAAACCAAAGTTGCTAATAATATAAGAGAAACGGAAAATCTGGCAACATTGCAAATATCAAATATGGAATCTCCGTATTCCCAAAATAGGTGTACCTCAAATTTGTGTACAATTATAACTAGCAATTTACGAGATAATTGGCCGTTTCTAGACTTTGAGCCACTATGTATAATGGTTTTACCTAGAGTCAAAATTGTATACAAATTTTTATAATATAAACAAAAGTTATTGCTGTAATAATTTAGAACAAGAGATATCAAGGATTAGGCCACAAACTTCTACTCTATAAAGCTTGAAAAATGTTCTAAAAACTGTCTACAATATACTTACAAGACTTTTTCCAAAATCCAAAATCTTTTGACAGCATAAGAAGGATAAAAATCAGTTTTTAAGCCATTTGTCAAGCCGCCCCCATAAAAATAGATAACATATCTAATTGTTCATATTGACCTATAGGTTGTATTAGTGTGAAGGGACTATGCAAATTGAGCTATCCAAATCCAGCTGTGTACTTTTTCAATTACAACAAAATTGACTTTATTGATTTAAAAAAATATTTTTAACAAGTTCCAATTTTATTATTAAGGTATCTGAATCAACAATGTTTGATTCACTGTCTCTATTAAGGTATATTTTCTTCTTTTCCTAAAATGTAGCTTTGTTCCCTCATTTGTTCTCACTGGACTTAGATAACTGTTTCTACAAAGACATTAACTAACTAACCCAAAGAACTAAAAAAAGCAGCTACAACCCAAAAATAAACAATTTCTAATATAAATTATTCATCTAACAACGAAAGGATATAATATCTGTATTCAAAAACCTACCAAAATTGGTATTGACAAATTTTGTAATGTTTATATAAAAATGAATATTTTTAAAACATAAAGGAAACATAATTTCTGAGCTTACCGTCTCTGACATCATGTCCAGTAGTTGTTGTCTGGGTTTGCTTCGTGTAGACAACAACTTCCTTGGGGGGAATGTTTGTAGTTTGTACTGGAACAACTGTAAGTTGGGGAAGCTTCTTTTTTACAGCTGTTACACTATAAAAATAGAAAAATAAGGCTAAATATAAACTGTAAAAAAAATCAATCATATCAGAGCAGATGTTGGAGAATACTATCATTGTCAATGAATAAATCAGTGTTTTTAGTTAAAAAGTTAATATTTACACATTGTCAATGCAAAATAACTTACTTGTTGGTTAAAATATGCGGTTGCAGTGAAGTGTCTGGTGTGTGGTTTCGACTAGGCTCTGGCGTGAGTGAATTTGCACTGGATATACTAGAAAACACTTCAGAAACAGGGGCTACTCCAACTTCCCTAAGTAAATCGTCTAATTCTTTCCTATCGCCACCTCCACCCAAAAGAGTTCTGCTGGCAGCCTCTTCGACTTCTTTCAGTTCTTTTTCCCGACGTCGACGATCCTTTTCCTCCCTAAGTGCTTGTAGTTTGGCTTTCTTACGTTCTAATTCCGCTTTTCTGTCTGCCATACTCGGTTTCGGTCTATCTAAAATCACATCCATTTTTAATTGTGAATTGGCTTATGGTAACTAGTGAGTCATGGAATAAAAAGACATAGACATTTCGATTCTAACTTTACACATGCGTTTCTGGGAGGTAGGGAAAATCAATGGTTCGGAGTCGGTACAGCAACTACTACGCCGATTCGATCAAAAATAACTAAAACGATAGTGGTGCATCAAAAGATACTTTTATTTTTGTACGAAAGTGCATATTCCAGAGTCTATTACCAATGCCTTCCATCACTAGTTACCGTTACTTTTATATTCGATTATGGGAAAGCTTACCTAAATTGTATAAAAAACTATCAATAACAATAAATTACAAAAACTACACTACTTTAAATAGTTTATTGTAAGAGAGACCAGTCCGGTATTTTAAAAAAATAAAGATTATTTTATTAAAACGCCCAACTGTCAATCTACATTATGCTCGTTTGCTGGTGACGTAATGAATTTGTTTGACAATGCATCAATATTTATTCCAGGGACAGCTGTTTATTTATATTTATAAAGAAATAGGTAAAATATTTATTGTGTGTTCATACTGCAGAGGATTGTCATTGCACAAATTTAGTGCATTTAATCAATAAAGAAGTACATTCAGATACATTAAGGTCAATTCTTTGTATGACAACGCATGCAGTATTTCCACCAATGAGGAAAGTAGAGTGAAAATGTACAGGTTTTGATTGGACGGGATTGACAGTTGGAAGGTGTTTGTTCGTTTGTCTTTTATAATCTCTTCTCCTTTTTTAAATGATAAAAAAGATAAATACTTTAGCTACTAAAGAATAGATTACACTGCCATACTTGCGTGTGCTTCATATCCGTGGCCGTAGCTGGTCGTCGGTAAATATCTTACAGGGTCGACTCGAGCATTTTACGTAGCAATTTAAAATAGCGTTATATATTTATTCTAGTGTAGGTTGGCTTCTACGTACGAAGCCAAAATAAACAAAATTCCATCGATATATTAAGAGGAAGTGATAATACTGTACAGTTATGTTCACCATTAAAATAAAAACCAAATAAAATGGGGCGTTAATTGTAGAATAAACAAATATGTAACTATTTTTTCAACAAATATTCATGTTTCTTATCTTCAATGTATATATTTGTAAAACTTTCTCGAGTCTGTGAACCTGCAACTCACAGGCGCACCCTTCTTCTTACCCAATATTAATATACGTAATCGTTATGACATATGATATGAGTTTGGACTATTTGTATACATTTATGATGTAATATTAATGTATATATTCGTATTATTGTGTTTTAACCAAGAAAGGAAAATTTTTAATTATGAAATCAAAGTATTCTCAATAAATATTTATTGGAAACAAGATGTAGGATTATAACAAGATAAACAATAATTAAAATAATTTTCTTAATATGAAGAAATTATCAGAAGAAAAACTATAGGTAATAGTAGTACACAGTGGACCCCTATTTATATTTTTCTTTCTAAAAAAGTATTATTAGAGAGAACCATTTAAAACAAATAACCGGCTGTACCAGGGAGACACTCTTTCGTGTATACTGTTCAATCTGACTCTGGAAAAAGTAATCCGAATCTCACAAATCACAACGACCGGTTCAATATATAACAAATCAGTACAAATGGGTCTTGATAGACCCATTGGTTAGAGAAGAGGAACACCCAGAACAAGGTTCCTTGATAGCATCGATGAAGACATGAGAAATATGAGAATACTTGCTTGGCGGAGAAAGGCGCTGGATAAGAACGACGATTGAACAGAAATTCTTAAGGAGCTAGAACCCACGCTGGATTGTAAAGCCAGAATGATAATGGTGATCTTTAAAGGAAAACCCAATTCCATATTTTTTTGGCTGCTTTCTCTATGATCGCTGCCTTAAAATTACCAATTTTGATTTCGACTTGATTTCTCTGCATGTATATAAAAATAAAAAAAAGGATTTCTATGAACACAAAGAAATATTAAAGCTGAATACAGTTGGAAAACACACAACAGTATACAGTGAGTCTCGTCTCACTGCGTATTTCACTTAGTTTTCTGTGTAGCATTCCTCATTGTTTAATAAAATGAATTCTTAAATTTTTATATTGTCATTAATTATTACATACCTTTGTATCCAAAATATTGTCATGTTAAAATGGAACTGGGCAGGACACAAAGGAAAAATGAAAGACAACCGTCGAACAAAGCGAATCGTTGGATGGCAATCCAGATCAAATAAGAGAAGTAGAGGCAGACTTTAAACCAGATGGACTGTTGATATCAAGCGAATGGCTGGTCACGAATGGTTGCAAAATGATTCATGGTTCATGATAATGATGATGACGTGTCTATGATCCGTTCATCAATTAGCTGTTTTTAGACGCATAACCACAATTAATAATGATAGGTTACAGTTAAGATTGCTTAGTTTAAAAAGATTAAGAAAAAAGTAATTCACGTTACTTTTTACAGCATATCTATGTTTCGTGGACCTTAATAAGGCATTTGGCCGGGTCAAATTAAAACTCGTTATTCACTTACTGTACGCAAGATAAATACTTCTAAGAATAATCAGAACCATCGAAAACATCTCCCAAAACAACACAATAAAAGTAAAAGTAGAAGAAGAACTAACCGACCCTATTGAAGCTGGTAATGGGATAAGACAGGGAGATTCCTTGAGTAATCTATTGTTCAACCTGATTATGGATGAAATAATAAAAAAGTAAGTCCTAAAAAGGATACCAAATAGGAAAAAAACAACCTAAAATAATCTGCTATAAAGACGACGCAATACTACTCGATAATAGAACAAGTATGGAGTTTGAATATCTAGGCATCATATTATCTAACTACGGAAAGCTCGAAACTGAAGTGAAAGATCAGTGAATAGAGCAAACAGAGCCGCAGGCTGTCCGAATGAAACAGTATGTAGAAATAAAAATCTCGGAAAAGAAAGGAAAGGCAGCAGTTAGAAAACAGTCATCAAACCAATAATGACATACGCGGCAGAAACAAGACCTGACATAGAGAGGACAAAAAGGATGTTAGAAACAGCAGAGATGAAAACATTTAGAAAAATGTATGTTAAGACACTATGAGATAGAGCCAGAAATATAGATATACTACGTAGATGCAGGAGAACGACAGAGTCATGTCTATGTAAAAAGAAGAAGAAGAAGACTCCAAACAGCTAAAAAATGAAAAACACCCACCGAAATAATAGCTTAACTGGAAGTCAGTCATATTTTGTTTTTTTACCTATTATGTTGGCATCGTACAGAACTAAGTTCCGCTCTTAACAAAACATACTGTTTAAAAACCTTAAATGAACACTGTGTACCAGACCATACTGTGTACCACTGTCCCGAATCGAATAAACTGGGAAACGAAATAGAAGCGCAAAGTATGCCATGAACGAACTTAACAAATATCTTTAAACGGATATAAAATGAACAAGAATATATTGGAATACTTCTTCTTCTTCTTCTTATACTGCCGTGCACCTATGGTGCGTTGGCGAATTATCTTAAGGCCAGACGTCTGTCTTTTGCGGCATGCAAAAGATCGCCAGTGTTATTTATGCCTGTCCATTTTTTTATGTTTCATAGCCACGACATTTGTTTGCGACCTACTTCTCTCTTGCCTTCAAACTTTCCCTGGATGATTCGTTGAGGGATTGCGTATTTTTTCCTCTCAGAATATGGTCGAGGTATCCAATTTTTCGTCATCATCATATAACGGGGGTCCTACGGCGATTGCCGCTTCCCGCATTTCAGCCTCCATCTTTTCCTATCTCTCCAATCTCCCTCTTCTAAGCCTCTAGATTGCATTGTTTTTGTAATTTCTCTTCTCCAGAAATTTGGTGGTCTTCCCCTTTTCCTTCTTTTTGGCGGAACATACATTAAGGCTTTCTTTGGCCACCGCTCCTCCTCCATTCTCATTACGTGACTATACCATTGTTATTGCCTTCCTTGTATTTTATCTGAAAGAGTATCTCTAAGTCCTGTACGGTTTAGTATTTCCTCATTCCTGATTCTTTCCATTCTCGATACTCGACATGACCTTCTAAGATAATCCATTTCCACAACGTCTACTTTATCTCGTTCATTCTTTGTCATCGTCCAACATTCGGCACCATATGTGGTAATCGGTTCTACAATTGCTCTGTATACACAAAGTTTGGTACGTATCTTTATTTTATTAGACCACAGTAATGAATTCAGGATGCATTTTTTTCCTTGGCTTCCTAGATATTTATACTGGTTGCAACCTTTTATGACTGCGTTTTCAAGCCTCAGATCTGTGGTATTTCTTCCAATTTTTAAATATTCTGTTTTGCTTATGTTCTGTATCTGCAAACAACAATGTATACAGAGTTTCTTGTACCACTTCGATGCCCATAAATCTACATTTATTTCTCCAATTCCTCAATGCTTTTTGGACGTATATTTTAAAGAGTGTCGGTAATAAACAGCATCCTTGCTTTAGGCCTTTAGTGACTTTAAATTCATTTGAAGTTCTGGTTCCAATTTTTACACAACTAACTGCATTTTCGTACAATTTATATATCGCTCGGATACACGTCGAATCCAATCCGGACCTTTCGAGGACCTCAAACATTTTCTTTAACGGGACACTATCATATGCTTTCTCAAGGTCTATAAATACCAAATGGGTCTCTCTACTTCTTTCGACACGCTTTTCAAATATTTGTCGTAGGATAAATATATTATCAAGGCAGGATCTCCCGGTACGAAAGCCGCTTTGTTCTTCAATATCTTGTATCTGTCTTTCAACCCTCTTCTTTAATATTCTGCCGTACAACCGACCCACAGAGCTCGTCACACTAATACCTCTATAATTGGAACAGTCTCTTTTATTCCCTCTCTTATATATGGAGCTTACATAAGATTTATTCCAATCTTTAGGAATTTGCCTGGTCTCTACACATACATTTATTAAAAAGGTCTACTATTAATTATAAAAGTGCAGTTGGCCTATATTTAACCAGCTCTATGGGAATGTCTCCAGGCCCTGCGGCTTTTTCGTTTTTAACCTCTTTTAAGGTTTCCGTCAATTCAGATAATGTCATTATAGGGATTTCCTGTCTTTCGTCTCTGTTATCTATTAATTCCCTTATCTTGTCCCATCTGTACTCTACTCTATCCTCTTTCAGCAGTTTCGTATAATAGTCTTCCCATTTATTTAACTTTATGAGAGGAATGTTTTCTTCATTTTTCTCATTTTTCCTAAACTGCTTTAATGTTTTCAAAGCTTGTGCCACTTTTGTTCCACCCATAAATCTGTCCAGTTGATCACACTTAGCCTCCCAGTTTACATTTTTCGCCTTATCCACTTCTTTTTTAACGTCTCTATTCCATTTGGCGTATATTTCTGTCTTGCGGATCTTTGGATTGAAGCCATATGTGATATGCTTGTTTTTTTCTTGAGAAATT